TGCCTCCTGTTTCTCCCCCACTCCTCCTGGCACTGCACCGCCTCAGCCACCCGCACCACCACCGCATCCTCCACCTGCTGCCCTCTTTCACCCCCCCCCCATCCACTAACCCATCTCCTCCTCCTCCTCCTCCTCTCCTCCTCCTCCTCTCCTCCCCCTCCTCCTCCTCATCCCCTCCTTCCTCCTCCTCCTCTCCATCCTCCTCCTCCTCTCTCATCCTGTTCCCCTCCTCTCCTCCTCCTCCCTCCTCCTCCTCCTCCTCCTTCCTCCTCCTCCTAGTTCTCCTCCTCTCTCCCTCTCGTTTTCTCCCTCCTCCTCCCTCCTCCTCCTCCTCCTCCTCCTCCTCCTCCTCTCCTCCTTCCTCCTCCTTCCTCCTCCTCCTCCTCCTCCTTCCTCCTCCTCCTCCCTCTCCTCGTCCTCATCCTCCTCCTCCTCCAACTCATCCTCCTCCAACTCCTCCTCCTCCAACTCCTCCTCCTCCGCCGTGCCGTATTCTTGTTACTTCAACGTTAGGGCTGTCAGGGTCAGCGTGGCTTGAGATCCGCTGCTTTCTACATCACGCGTCCGAGCAAGCCAGTGTCAACGACTAGATGCAAGCACACTGCACGCGCTGCAAGACTCAGGCAAGCGTACCACGTAGAAAGAGGTATGTCCCTAGGCCCAAGCCCAGGCAACCGCAGGACTGCGGACGCGCGGGCTGGAAAAGATTGACTCGTTGGAGAGAATAGAAAAATCGGCAGTGGGAAACTCACACCGAAAGGCTAGATCAAAGAGGAAGAGAAAGAGCAAGATACGCATGAAGACGATGGGAAGAGAAAGAGGTAGAGGAATAGAAGGGGACAAGACGGACGAACAGGAGCATGAGGAGGCGGGGAGAGAGGGAGAGGAAGCTGTAGGGAAACGGAAGAGGAAGCGAAATGGAAGTGGATGCAGAAGCGGAGGAGGAAGTGCAAGATGAGGCACAAGATGAAGATGCAACGAAGCGAAAGTGCAAGCGAAAAAGGAAGTGGGAGTAGAGGGGGGCAGGTGACAAAGAGGAAGACGGAAGAGCATAAGCAGCATTAAAAAATACCGAAAACGCATAGCAAAAACAATATGAACAGATAGCGACAGTGTCACTAAAGCTACACGCACGAAGGAAACAAAGTTTACAGGGGGATGGAAAGTTGAACAAACATACTTAGATGTATGCCTAACTACGGAGTGTGAACGAGAACGGCGTGCGCATGCGTGTGAGAACAAGCGAACACAATATGTAACCTGACGAGACGGAGACGGTGATTGATGACGAAAAGGTGAAGATGAGCGGATTTGAGCCAACGGATAGCATACAGCCGTAAGGACCTGAGGGGCTAAGATTGCACACATATCGATGTGTCAGTACACATGCAGTACTAACGAGTAAATGAAAACAGCACCAGTGATGGCATAAACATCGAAAAACACAAGAGCTACAATGAGTATGCAAGATGTGGACCAGAGAACCAAAGACAATAGCAGTACAGAGGCAAGATAAGAGGGAAAAAGGAGAACACAACAGACAGGAGACTATGAACGAATATTGCAAGGACAACAAAAAAGAATAGGATTGGCCGACACCAGAACTAGCAACGAGAGAAGGAGAAGGGGGACGAAAAGAAAACGAGAAAGGCACGCGGAAACGACAACAGAAAGGGAAAGAACAAAGGAAAGAGAGAGGGAAAGTGAAAGTGAAAGGGAAAGCGAAAGGGATAGGGAAAGTCAAGGTGGAAGCGAGAAGGCAGATGGGAACGGGGAAGAGTTGGCAAACGGAAAGGATAGGGCGAAGCGGAAAGAGAAGGCAAATGGAAGAGGGCGAGGGCGAAGACGAGGAGCGGAAAGCACGAGGAGAAAAGGAACAGGGGGGCGAGGGCAGGCGAGCACCTGAGCTCAAGCAGCGCACACCCCGGCACAGCAGCTCGAGCCGGGCGGGCGTGGGCAGTGGCAGGGGACAGAGGGCGCTCGGGTGAGGCTGCGGATCCTCACGCGATGGCGTAGGCACGCATCTTCCAGACAGATGTCCTTGCACGAGCGCGCTCCGCTGCTCGCGAAGCAAGTGCTCCGATACATCACGCCGAGGAAGGCATGTTTTGCTCGGACGCTTGCGAGTAGGCACTCTGCGAGCAGCGGAACGCAGTCGGTGATGTTCGATCACCGTGACGAGATCTAGGAGGAGGAGGAGGAGGAGGAGGAGCAAGAGAAGGGGTAGGGGGAGGAGGAGGAGGAGGAGGAGGAGGAGGAGGAGGAGGAGGAGGAGGAAGAGGAGCAGGAGAAGGAGGAGGAGGAGGAGGAGAAGGGGTAGGGGGAGGAGGAGGAGGAGGCGGAGGAGGAGGTGGAGGACGGGGGGAGGAGGAGGAGGAGGAGCAGGAGGAGGAGGAGGAAGAGGAGGAGGAGGAGAAGGAAGAGCAGGAGGAGGAGGAGGAAGAGGAGGAGGACGCGCCTGCGTACGCCAGGCACAAGCGCCGGCTCGCCTCGCGCCCTGGCAGCAGGCGGACACTCTGGCCCCTCCGCTCTCCGCTGCTCTTTCGCCTCGCTGAGCGTCGAAGGGCAGAGGGCGGGGTGGCCACTGCGTACGCATCGGTCGGACGAAGTAGGCAGAAACAGGAAGTAGGACGGCGTTGAAAGTAGGTTGGGTTCCGTCCGCCCCCTAAAGAGGACGGAAAAGGCGAAGGAATCCAAAAAGATCTACTTTCAACGACCGATGGGTACGCACACCCGGACGTTCGCAAACGGTAGCGACCAATGGCACGATCCGAGGTGAGAGGACGAATCACGAGTGCAGAAACAGGAGGGGCGACGAGGGCTCAGTGGCACCAGTAAGACCAGGACAAACACGGGGGCAGGAAGGAAATCAAGAGAGAGAGAGAGAGAGAACAGAATCCGCCGACCCCGCTTGCTGGAGGTAACAAGGCGTGTGAGACGGTTGCCTGTCCCCCTCCCCCTTTCCCCCTTCCCTGGGGTTTAAAATGCTATCTAGAGGGGCACAAGCTCGTCAACGCACCCCGGGGGCCTCCAGAGCCCCCAAAAAGCGCCAAGACAGCCCAACCCGGCCCAGACAGAGCGCCAAGACAGTCGAAGAGAGCGTCATGACGGCCCAGCCAGGGTAGCCCCACGACGATCCTAGATGGCTTCAAGATGGCCCACGGGGCCCCCAAGACAGCCCAAAAGCGCCTCCAGAGGATCGCCGAGAGGGCCCCAGGAAGCCAAAATCGAAGAGAAAAACGTACATTTTCAGCACGTTCGCATTTTACGTTTTGACAGCAAACACGACCCCCCGGTGGCCCCAAGATCGTCCCAAAAGGGCCCATGATGCCTCCCAGAAGGCCCCCAAGACAGCCTCCGAGAGGGCCCCAAGAGGCCAGAATCATCTCATCACCCTGAAAAAACGTACATCTTCAGCGCATTCGCATTTTACATGTGACGGCCAACGCGACGGCCCAAGTGGCCCCAAAAATCGCCCCAAGACGCCCCATGATGACCCCAAGAAGGCCAAAAGATGGCCCCAGGAGTGTTCAAAGACAGCCCCAGGGGCCCTCCAAGATGGCCCAAGGCAGCCCCAACAGGGCTCCAAGAAAGCCCAAGAGGGGGAATACGAACTGACATTTCGAGCCTTTCCCACCAAGATAGCCCCTATCAAGCTCCCACAGAGGCCCCCGATGTCCCTCCAAGAAGCCTTCCAGACGCCCCCAGGAAGCCCCCCAGAGGCCCCCGCGAGGTCCCCAAAAGCCCCCCAGATGCCCCCAAAAAGCCCTCCAGGAGGCCCCCGAGAAGCACCCCCAGGGCCCCTCAGATGCATCCAAGGGTCCCCTGACCCACGATATAACTTCCACGATCGTCTCAAACACTCACTCCTTGTAGGGGTCGGCGGAATGGCGTAAGCCACTTGAGTAACGTGTCAAGAGCGGGGAGAGTAGGCCGACTGGAGCACCGTGCTACGCACCCGCAGCTGACCTCACCTGTCTTACCCTCCCAGCCCGCCTTCTGCCGTCTCCAGCTGAAGCCCTTCCCTCCTCCTGCCGACTAAAACAGCCTGGGATGAGGAATAGCTGAAGCGAAAGGGGGCAAGGAGGAAGACAACAAAGAGAAGCAGGAAAGAGAGAGAGGGGGAGAGAGAACAAAAAACAACAAACAAAAAACAAGCGAAGGACCCGACCATATGCGGTTGCGAGTCACTGTTGGGCCACGAAACGTGTGAGGGGTCTGCCGAGATAGGTGCGGCGGGGGGCGCATGCGAACGCAGCCACTGGGGCCTTCGGTGGAGCTCCCTATGTGGCCTGGAGAGAGGTTGAATGATCGAACTGAAAGATTCGCGGAGCGTCGAACTGATGGAGTAAAAGGGTGGAGGACATATGGTGTGCCTCCCTTGGTGGTGGTAGGCTTGTGGTGCCCGCCGTTGGTGGCTTGTGGTGCCCACCGTTGGTTATGGTGGGAAGGTGGGTGGACGGGCCGCCCCCCCCCATGGAGTGCCGCACCCACCCCCGGGCAGCTGCTCGCTCGGCGGGCACTTCCCGAGGACGGCCGATCCGAGCCTCCCCTCCCCGTTCGCAGGTGGTTGCTCGGCTCGGGTTCTGCTCGGCGGTGCCCGCCTGGAGACCGTGCTCGTGTCGGGAGGCGCCAGCCATACGCCTCCACCCATCACCTAGCTTTCTTCCCAGCCGTCCTGTGGTGTTGGGTCCTCGCTCTGAAGAGACGGCGCCCCGCGCCCCACCTCTCTCCTCCTCCCTCTCCGCCCGCCTCCCACTTCTTGCCTCTGCCCTCACACGTTTCGTGGCCCGATAGAGAGCTCCACCGAAGGCCCCAGTGGCTGCGTTCGCATGCGCCCGCCGCACCCATTTCGGCAGACCTTTTCACATTTTTCGTGGCCCCATGGCCCCAGTGGCTGCGTTCGCATGCGCCCGCCGTACCCTTTCCGGAACACCCTCACACGTTTCGTGGCCCTGGGCGCGGCGAGCACGGCGGCCGGCCGCGCGGCCGGGCCGCGGCGGGACGGCGGGACGGCGGCGGGCGGCGGGCGGCGGCCGCGCGGGTTTCTCCGCGGGCGGGTCCCGCGGCCGCGGGGGCCGCCGCAGGCAGCGGGCGACGCCTCTCACAGGGACTGGCCGCTGCCGCGGCGGCTGCTGGGCGCGCCGAAGAGGGAGGCCAGGGTTAAGTCGGGCCTGTCCTCCTACAGGGGGATTTTGGACGAAAATTACGAAAATACCAAATAAAATCCCCCAAATAGTCAAAAATCGTCCCCCGACTATGTTTCGACTATTTTTGAATATTCCTCCTGTAGAGGGACAGGCCCGACTGAAGGCCAGGGATGGTGAGGCCTCGGGCCCAGCCTTTTCTTTTTACCCAAACGAACGAGCTCCACCTCCACACTGCACGTTCTCCACTGCCATGCGATGCGGAGAGAGTCGCCAAGGCAAGCCAGGTGCAGCCCACAAGCCGGCCTGCGACACGCTTCGGGCCCGGACCGCCTCGCGCCATGAGAAAGGCCCTGGGGCGCGCATCGCCCCAGACCGCCCTGGACCGCTCGGGGGGCCGACTGCGCGCAACCCGAGACCATGCTTGCCCAATGCGGGGTCCCCCCCCCCCCCCAGAAAAAGCCGACCCTTTCCCTGGGACCAGCTGCTCAGCCCGAGCCCGGGGCCTGGAGGCCGAGAACGGCAAAGGCAAGCACCTTCCGTCGTGACTGTGGGCACGACGAGAAAGAGGTCTGGTCTTTGGGCCAAGACTTGGGCATCCGGCGGCCGCTCGGGACGATCCGAGCACCCCCGGGGCGCCCTCGACAAGGCGCAGCTGCTGGAACGCATCCCGCGGCGAGAAAACCTCCAAGAACGGACGAGAACGCGCGAAAGTTTCCGTCGCGATGTTGTACCGACGCAAGCACGTTTACTTGGATCACTGCTGCGGTTGCTAGGGAGATAGAGGTTATAAGTGGATGCTAATCTTGGTTACACCAGGCCAAACCGAGCTTCCAAGTGACCAACAGGGCTTATGGGGGGGCAAAAAAGGGGCCAGATGAGCGGAGCCCACTGAACAGAGTTCTGTAACCCGTTTAAGACACTCAGGGCAGTTGTAACCAATTTAGAAGCCAGGTAAGGCCAGATAGAGTCACGCTAGTATTCACTTAGAGCACCCCATATCCCCTTAAAAAAGCCAATAAAACCATTGGGAGCCACCTAGAACTCACTCAGACCTCGTAGACCCCATTCAAAGTACTGAATTAGACCGCTCAGGACCAACTGGAACTCCCCTAATAGAACCCATTCAGAACCCTCAGATACGACCCACGCTGCCATCTGCTGAAAACCCACTTAGGCATTTTCTCGTCGTGACCAAGATCACGACGAGAGGTGTTTGTCGGGGATCTACTGACCTGGGTCAATCCAGGTTCGGGTCAATCAGGCCTTGCAGGATCCTCCAAGATCCCGCAAAATCCTGCTAAATCCTGCACCTGCGCCCGGGTCAGCGCAACCCAGGCTCTGCAAGATCCAGCAAGATCCGGCGGTGGACCGCGTAAGACGTCCCTCCACTGCACCCCCAAGCAGCCCTAGAAACTGGCGAAAATTCCGCAGATCGCAGCCCCCCAGGGTCTGCAAGACCCCCAGGGATGGCGAGGTCTGCTGGTGGTCCGCGTAGGACGTCATTCCGCTGCACCCCCCAGCAGCCCTCGAAAGTGGCGACGGTTTCGCAGATCGCAACTCCACAGGGATGGCGAAGTCTCATGGTGGTCCGCGTAAGGCGTCACTCCGCTGCACCCCCCAGCAGCTGTCGAAAGTGACTACAGTTTCGCAGATCACAACCCCCCAAGGATGACGAGATTTCCTGGTGGTCCGCGTAAACTGTCACTCCGCTGCACCCCCCAGCAGCCCTCGAAAGTGGCGACCGTTTCGCAGATCGCAACACCCCCAGGGATGGCGAGCCTGGTGGTCCGCGTAAGACGTCACTCCGCTGCGGCCCCCAGCAGCCCTCAAAAGTGGCGGCACTTTCGCAGATCGCAACCCCCCAAGGATGACGAGGTTTCCTGGTGGTCCGCGTAAACCGTCACTCCGCTGCGGCCTCCAGCAGCCCTCGAAAGTGGCGACCATTCCGCAGATCGCAACCGCCAAAGATGGCGAAGTTTCATGGTGGTCCGCATTAGACGTCACTCCGCTGCGGCCCCCAGCAGCCCTCGAAATTGGCGACGGTTTCGCAGATCGCACCCCCCCCGGGATGGCAAGGTCTCCTGGTGGTCCGCGTAAGACGTCACTCCGCTGCGGCCCCCAGCAGCCCTCGAAAATGGGTACAGTTTCGCACGTCGCACCCCCCATGAATGACGAGGTCTCCTGGTGGCCCGCCTAAAACATCACTCTGCTGCACCCCCCAGCGGCCCTCGAAAATGGCCACAGTTTCGCAAATCGCATCCCCCAAGGTTTGTTTGGTGGTCGGTGTAGGACGTCACTCCACTGCACTCCCCAGCAACCCTCGAAAGTGGCGACGGTTTCGCAGATCGCAACCCCCCAGGGATGGCGAGGTCTCCTGGTGGTCCGCGTAAGACGTCACTCCGCTGCGGCCCCCAGCAGCCCTCGAAATTGGCGACAGTTTTGCAGATCGCAACACCCCCAGGGATGGCGAGGTCTCCTGGTGGTCCGCGTAAGACGTCACTCCGCTGCACCCCCCAGCAGCCCTCGAAAGTGGCGACCTTTCCGCAGATCGCACCCCCCCAGGGATGGCGGTCCTGGTGGTCCGCCTAAAACATCACTCAGCTGCACCCCCCAGCAGCCCTCGAAAGTGGCGACCGTTTCGCAGATCGCAGCCCCCAAGGTATGGCTGGTGGTCCATGTAGAAGTCACCCCGCTGCGGCCCCCAGCAGCCTTCGAAAGTGCCGAGGGTTCCGCAGATCGCAACCCCCCAGGGATGGCAAGGTCTCCTGGTGGTCCGCGTAAGACTTCACTCCGCTGCGGCCCCCAAGCAGCCCTCGAAAGTGGCGACCGCTTCGCAGGTCGCACCCCCCCAGGGATGGCAAGGTCTCATGGTGGTCCGCGTAAGACGTCACTCCGCTGCACCCCCCAGCAGCCCTCGAATGTGGCGACGGTTTCGCAGATCGCAACCCCCAGGGTATAGCTGGTGGTCCGTGTAGGACGTCACTCCGATGCGGCCCCCTAGTGGCAGTTTCGCAGATCGCAACCCCCAGGGATGGCGAGGTCTCCTGATGGTCCGTGTAGGACGTCACTCCACTGCACCCCCCAGCAGCCCTCGAAATTGGCGATGGTTTCGCAGATCGTAACCCCCCAGGGATGGCTGGTGGTCCGCGTAAGACGTCACTCCGCTGCGGCCCCCGGCAGCCCTCGAAAGTGGCCACAATTTCGCAGATCGCACCCCCCCAGGGATGGCGAGGTCTCCTTGTGGTCTGCGTAAGAGGCCACTCCGCTGCATCCCCCAGCAACCCTCGAAAATGGCAGCAGTTTGGCAGATCGCAACCCCCAAGAAATGGCTGGTGGTCCGTGAAGGACGTCACTCCGCTGAGGACCCCAGCAGCCCTCGAAAGTGGCGAGGGTTCCGCAGATCGCAACCCCCCAGGGATGGCGAGGTCTCCTGGAGGTCCGCGTAAGACGACACCCCGCTGCACCCCCATAGCAGACCTCGAAAGTGGCGAGGGTTCCGCAGATCGCATCCCCCACGGTATGGCTGGTGTCCGCGTAAGGCGTCACTCCGCTGCGGCTCCCAGCAGCCCTCGAAAGTGGCGACCGTTCCGCAGATCGCAACCCCCCAGGGATGGCGAGGTCTCCTGGTGGTCCGCGTAAACCGTCACTCCGCTGCGGCCCCCAGCAGCCCTCGAAATTGGCGACGGTTTCGCAGATCGCAACCCCCCAGGGATGGCGAGGTCCCCTGGTGGTCCGCGTAAGACGTCACTCCGCTGCGGCCCCCAGCAGCCCTCGAAATTGGCGACAGTTTCGCAGATCGCAATCCCCCAGAGATGGCGAGGTCTCCTGGTGGTCCGCGTAAGACGCCACTCTGCTGCACCCCGCAGCAGCCCTCGAAAGTGGCGACAGTTGTGCCACTCGCAGCCCCCAGGGATGGCCAGGTAGGAGACAAGCTGGCACGCAGGAAGGAGCGAGGTAAGAGGCAGGCAGAAACTGATGCGTAGTAGGATTATCTTTCTATGGAGGAGAGCCGGATAGCAGGAGGGAGAGAGGAAAGGCGAGAGTGAGGAGTTGATGTAGGTAGCGTTATTAGTCGGGTATGTAGAGGGAGAGTTGGGAGGGAGGAGGAGGGATGAGGAGAGGAGGTGATGGTGGAGGGTCGTTGTAAGGCAGGATGCGGGAGGAGGAGGAGGAGTGTCCTCCGCGTGCTCTGTTCAGCAAGCTGAAAACAGAGCCCCCAACGCGAGATGGTGTATGGAGAAAGGGAAGGCGTGGGCCAGCCCCCCCCCCCCCACACAAAAAAAAACATTGCCTGGCGAAGGACCAACCATAGGCATTTGTGAGTGCCGCAATTGGTGAATGCCGCAATTCTGCTGGGTGGTGGCGGACGCATGCGGGCGGTGCCACTGGGACCTTCGGTGGAGCTCCATATGGGGCCACGAAACGCTGTACTGGGTGGGTGAGACGCGGTCAGCAAGGGCTGTGCTGCGTGGTGGCGGACGCATGCGAGCGGTGCCACTGGGACCTTCGGTGGAGCTCCCTATGGGGCCACGAAACGCTGTACTGGGTGTGTGAAACGCAGGCAGGGAGCAAGGGCTGCGCAGGGTGGTGGCGGACGCATGCGGGCGGTGCCGCTGGGACCTTTGGTGGAGCTCCCTATAAGGCTACGAAGCGTTGTTCTGGGTGGGTGAAGCGCAGGGAACAAGGGCTGTGCTGGGTGGTGGCGGACGCAAGCGGGCAGTGCCACTGGGACCTTTGGTGGAGCCCCCATATGGGGCCACGAAACGTGCGAGGGGTGTGCCAGAATGGGGTGTGGAACCGCATGCGGGCGCAGCCATTGGGGCCTTCGGTGGAGCCCCCTATGGAGCCACGAAACGTGTGAGGAATGTGCCGAAATGGGGGGGGTGGAACCGCATGCGAGCGCAGTCACTGCGGCGTTCGGTGGAGCTCCCTATGGGGCCACGAGACGTGTGAAGAGCGTGCCGAAAAAGGGGGTGGAACCGCATGCGAGCGCAGCCACTGGAGCGTTCGGTGGAGCTCCCTATGGGGCCAAGAAACGTGTGAGGGGTGTGCTAGAATGGGGGGTGGAACCGCATGCGGGCGCAGCCACTGGGGCCTTCGGTGGAGTTCCCTATGGCCTTCGCTGGAGCTCCCTATGGGGCCACGAAGCGTGTGAGGGGTGTGCCGAAATGGGTGCGGTGGGCGCATGGGGGCGCAGCCACTGGGGCCTTCGGTGGAGCTCCCTATGGGGCCACGAAACGTGTGAGGGGTGTGCCAGAATGGGGGGTGGAACCGCATGCGGGCCAGCCACTGGGGCCTTCGGGTGGAGCTCCCTATGGGGCCACGAAACGTGTGAGGGGTGTGCCAGAATGGGGGGTGGAACCGCATGCGGGCGAAGCCACTGGGGCCTTCGGTGGAGCCCCCTATGGGGCCACGAAACGTGTGAGGGGTGTGCCAGAATGTGGGGTGGAACCGCATGCGGGCGCAGCCACTGGGGCCTTCGGTGGAGCTCCCTATGGAGCCACGAAACGTGTGAAGGGTGTGCCAGAATGAGGGGTGGAACCGCATGCGGGCGCAGCCACTGGGGCCTTCGGTGGAGCTCCCTATGGGGCCACGAAACGTGTGAGGGGTGTGGCAGAATGGGGGGTGGAACCGCATGCGGGCGCAGCCACTGGGGCCTTCGGTGGAGCTCCCTATGGGGCCACGAATCGTGTGAGGGGTGTGCCAGAGTGGGGGGTGGAACCGCATGCGGGCGCAGCCACTGGGGCCTTCGGTGGAGCTCCCTATGGGGCCACGAAGCGTGTGAGGGGTGTGCCAGAATGGGGGGTGGAACCGCTAGCGGGCGGGGGCCGCACCACTGGGGCCTTTCGGTGGAGCTCCCTATGGGGCCCACAAACGTGTGAGGGGTGTGCCGAATGGGGGGTGGAACCGATGCGGTGGCCAAGGCCACTGGGGCTTTGGTGGAGCTCCCTATGGGGCCACGAAATGTGGAGGGGTGTGTGCAAAATGTGAGGTGGAATCCCATGCGGCGCAGCGAACTGGGGCCTTCGATTGGAAGCTCCCTATGGGGCCACGAAACGAGTGAGGGGTGTGCCGAAATGGGGGGGTGGAACCGCATGCGAGCGCAGCCACTGGGGCGCTCGGTGGAGCTCCCTATGGAGCCACGAAACGTGTGAGGGGTGTGCCAGAATGGGGGGGTGGAACCGCATGCGGGCGCAGCCACTGGGGCCTTCGGTGGAGCTCCCTATGGGGTCACGAAACGTGTGAGGGGTGTGCCAGGATGGGGGGTGGAACCGCATGCGGGCGCAGCCACTGGGGCCTTCGGTGGAGCTCCCTATGGGGCCACGAAACGTGTGAGGGGTGTGCCAGAATGGGTGTGGGAGGGGGAGGAGGGGGGAGGAAGGGGAGGAGGAGGAAGGAGGAGGAGGAACGCGGGGCGACGTCTCTTCAAAACGAGGACCCAACACCACAGGATGGTTGGGAAAAAAAACAAACAAACAAAAATGGCCGTCTTCGGCCCGCGAGCCCGACGGGGGCGCGGCCCCCGAGGCTTCGGAGGCCCCATGACGCCGAGGGCGGCGGCCGCTCTCGAGCTCCTCGCGGGGGGGGGGGCCTCGGAGGCAGGCCCCGGCCGCCCCGCCCCGAGGCCCCCGGGGAAGGCGGCGCTGCCGCGCCGGCCGGGGGTGGAGCCGGCCAGTGCGCACGAGGGGGCCTCGAGGGCTCGAGGAGGAAGGGAGAGGAGGAGGAGGAGGAGGAGGAAGCAGGAAGAAAAACAAAACAAAAAAAACAGGAGGAGGAGGAGGAAGAAGCAGGAGGAGGAGGATAACAGCAAGAAGGATGGCGGCACAAGGAAGAAGGAAAAGAAGAAGGGAATGCCAGTAGTCACCATCGAGCAGAAGTGATAACAAGAATACGGTCAGAAAGAAGAAGAATAAACAAAAAGGATTCAGAGGAAGAGGGGTCCGTGATGCCCAGGAGGTCTCACGGCCACGGCCACGATATCCACACACACACACACTCAGACACACTCAGACACACTGGGACACACACACACACACACACACAAACACACAACACACCACACACACACACACACACACACACACACACACACACACACACACACACACACACACACACACACACACTACACGCTTGCAAACAAACCCTGGCCTTCACCCGCCTCTTGAACGCCCCCGAGTCTGGGAAAGGGAACCGCCGCAGGGACCCTGCCGGCTAGAGGATCGGCCAACTGCATCAGAATAGACGTTCGGAGATCCGCGCGGAGTTCTTGGGCTGGCGCTGTGGCGGCCGCAGCGCGCCAGGGGCGGAGCCGGAGGCGCCTCCAGGGGGGGCCCAGCGCCGAGCCACGAAAACCGCGCGGAGCTCCGAAAGTTTAAGCCTGTGCCCTTTTGCCGTCCCTCGATGGAGGAGCGCGAGGCCCAGCGGACGAGCGGAAGCAGCTCGGCGTCCTCGCGGTCCGAGCCGTCATAAACGGCCGAGATCTCCTGGCTTGCACTCCGCCGCTCCGCTTCCTCTCCGTGCCCCGGGCCCGCCGCGGCGGAGAGGCGGCCGGAGCACAGGGCGAGGGCGGCCACCGCGAGGCTGATGCCGAGGACCGGCTGGACGATGTACAGACGAGGAAGCAAAAACGGCACGACAAACTTCCGTGGGGTGCTGCACGGCATGCTGATGCTGACTGTGTGTCCGTGATGGCGGCGCACGTCCGACAGGGACGTGGCACGACACAAGTCTGATGGCAGGGAGTTTCCCGAGCGCTGCGGCGTACTGCCGTGCAGCGCCCGCCACCGAACATAGACTGTAAGAATTCTCAACGCGCGTCGCCCGTTTGGGGTTGACGCACACATGGTATTGGTTCCACCAACCCTCTGGGCGACAGGTGGTCCAACGAGATTCCTCTTCCCTCTTCCACAACCCCTTTTTCCCCTTCGAGGAAATGTTTATCACTGTTCCCTATTAATAAACACCCCCTCCCCCAGATGACCGCTAGCCAACCCAGAACCATGCGGGCACCCCCCCACCATTCCTTTTAACAAAAAAAAAAAACCATACAAAACACATTATGCCTGCAAATTCGGAGCATGCGCAGCCAACCCAATGTGGTCTCCCCCACCATCCCTGTCAAAAAACAATGCGGAGTACACTTGGCGGCGGCGGCGGCTGCGGCGGCTGCGGCGGCGGCAGCTGCGGCGGCGGCGGCGGCGGCGGTTGCGGCGGCGGCGCCGCCGGCGACGGCGGGCGGCGGGCGGCGGCGGCAATCGGTAGGCGCGGCGACGGCGGTGGGGCGGTGGCGGTGGCGGCAGCGGCTGTGGCGGCAGCGGCTGCGGCGGCGGCGGCGGCGGCGGCGCGGCGGCGGCGGCGGGCAGCGGCGGCGGCGGCGGTGGCGGCGGCGGCGGAGGCGGGTTGGCCCCCAGTAGTTGGCCATCCAAAGACGACTGCTGCATATGCTGCGGCTCGGGCCAGGTTCGGTTGCTACGTATTTGTTGGGAAGGCGGGTGGGAGTGAGCGAGACGGCTTGTGGACGGGGAGGGAGTCTTGATAATTGTTCCCTATTAATATATACACCCCCTCCCCCAGGCGAATGGGAGCCGACCGAAGTCCATGCGGGCCCCCCCCCACACCATCCCTTGAAATTATCCCGGCAAAACAACCGAAACGCGATGTGTAGAAGCATATCTGAAAGCATTCCCCTTAAGATTCAGATGAAAATCCAATTGTAGAATTCTGCTGTTCTCGCAGTCGTAGTCGCATTCGCGATGACAGTCGCAGCGGCAACGGCAGTCGCAGTCACAGCCTCAAACTCAGCCTCCCATCCTCAGCCTCAGCCGCCTCAGCCTCAGCCTGCTCAGCCTCAGCCTCAGCCTGCTTCAGCCTCACCTCAGTCTGCCTTCGCCTCAGTCTGCCTTCCAGCCTCTGCTCGAGCCTCAGCCTGCCCTCAGCCTCAGCCTGCCGAGCCTCGCTCAGCCTCGAGCCTGCTCAGCATCAGCCGTGCCTCAGCCTCAGACCTCAGCCTGCCTCGCCTCAGCCTAAGTCCTCTTCAGCTCATCCTCAGTCTGCCTCAGCCTCGGCCTCAACCTACAGCCTGCCTCAGCCTCATCATCCTGCCCTTGCGGCGCACGCATCAGCCTCCTCAGCATTCAAAAGTGGCCCCAGGGAATAAATTCTGGGGAACTGAAGAGCACGAAAGTGGCTACAGTTGGCTCCGGCATTCCAAATAAAATGTGGCCCGGGCAATGGCAGCGTGTCTCTTGAAGAACACGAAGTGGCCTACAGTTGGCTCCGGGCATTAAAAATCATGCCCAGGAATGGAGTTCTGGGAACTTGAAGAGCACGAAGTGGCCTACAGTTGGCTCCGGGCATCCAAAATGTGGCCCGGGAATAGAGTTCTGGGAACTTGAAGAGCACGAAGTGGCCTACAGTTGGCTCCGGGCATTCAGAATGTGGCCCGGGAATGGAGTTTTGGGAGGTCGAAGAGCACGAAGTGTGTGACTGTTTGCGAAAAACGAGTGCGGCGGCAGCCGCGGCGGCAGCCTGTCCGGGTACCGCCCAGACCCCCTCTGAGGAGTCATGATGCTCTCTTTTGAGACCACTAGAAACCTATCAGCAAAAGCTGTTAGGTAAAACTATCCCGGCAAAGCAACCTAACAGCGATGTGTAGAAGCATATCTGAAAGCATTCCCCTTAAGATTCAAATGAAAATCCAGTTGTAGAATTCTTTGTTCTCGCAGTCTTAGTCGCATTCGCGATGACAGTCGCAGCGGCAACGGCAGTCGCAGTCACAGCCTCAGCCTCAGCCTGCCTCAGCCTCAGCCTCAGCCTGCCTCAGCCTCAGCCTGCCTCAGCCTCAGCCTCAGCCTGCTTCAGCCTCAGCCGCAGTCTGCCTTCAGCCTCGGCCTCAGCCTCAGCCTGCCTCAGCCTCAGCCTGCATCAGCCTCAGCCTCAGCATCAGCCTGCCTCAGCCTCAGCCTCAGTCTGCTTCAGCCTCAGCCTCAGTCAGCCTTCAGCCTCGGCCTCAGCCTCAGCCTGCCTCAGCCTCAGCCTGCCTCGGCCGCAGCATCAGCCTGCCTCAGCATTCAAAATGTGGCCCAGGAATGGAGTTCTGGGAACTTGAAGAGCACGAAGTGGCCTACAGTTGGCTCCGGGCATCCAAAATCATGCCCAGGAATGGAGTTCTGGGAACTTGAAGAGCACGAAGTGGCCTACAGTTGGCTCCGGGCATCCAAAGTGTGGCCCGGGAATGGAGTTCTGGGAAGTCGAAGAGCACGAAGTGGCCTACAGTTGGCTCCGGTTATTCAAAATGTGGCCCGGGAATGGAGTTCTGGGAGGTCGAAGAGCACGAAGTGTGTGACTGTTTGCAAAAAACGAGTGCGGCGGCAGCCGCGCCGGCAGCCTGTCCGGGTCCCGCCCAGACCCCCCTGAGGAGTCATGATGCTCTCTTTTGAGACCACTAGAAACCTATCAGCAAGAGCTGTTAGGTTCAAACCATACGAACACACTCTGCCCACCCATCCCTTGTAAAATTATCCCCTGGCAACGCAGACCTCAAAAACAGCATGTGTAGAAGCATATCTGAGCATTGCCCCTTTAATTCAGATGAAAATCCAGTTGTAGAATTCTGCTGTTTCTCGCAGGTCGTAGTCGCATTCGCGATGACAGTCGCAGCGGCAACGGCAGTCGCAGTCACAGCCTCAGCCTTCGCTGCCTCAGCTCAGCCCTCAGCCACGGCGTGCCGTCAGCCTCAGCCTGCCTCATGCCTCAGCCTCAGCCTGCCTCAAGCCTCATGCCTGCCTCAGCCTATCATCCTCAGCCTGCTTCAGCCTCAGCCTCATCTGCCTTCAGCCTCGGCCTCCGCCTCAGCCTGCTCAAGCCTCAGCTGCATCGCCTCAGCCTCAAGCCTCAGCAGCCTCAGCCTGCCTCAGCATCAGCCTGCTTCAGCCTCAGCCTCAGCCTGCCTCAGCCTCAGCCTCAGTTTGCTTCAGCCTCAGCCTCAGTCTGCCTTCAGCCTCGGCCTCAGCCTCAGCCTGCCTCAGCCTCAGCCTGCCTCGGTTGGTTCCAGGCACCCAAAATGTAGCCCGGGAATGGAGTTCTGGAAACTCGAAGACCACGAAGTGGCCTACAGTTGGCTCCGGGCATCCAAAATGTGGCCCGGGAATGGAGTTCTGGGAGCTCGAAGACCACGAAGTGGCCTACAGTTGGCTCCGGGCATCCAAAATGTACGCCGGGAATGGAGTTCTGGGAACTCGAAGACCACGAAGTGGCCTACAGTAGGCTCCGGGCATCCAAAATGTACGCCGGGGATGGAGTTCTAGCAGCGCCAAGAGCGATTTTGCGAGGATGTCCCAAGCGATTTGGGCTTCGGCAGCAGCCGCGGCGGCAGCCCGTCCGGGTCCCGCCCCGACCCCCCTGTGGAGTCATCTGCTGTTCTCTTTTGAGACCACTAGAAACCTATCAGCAAAAGCTGTTGGGTAAACACAGCATGTTTCCAAATTCGGAGCATGCGATGCGGCCTCCCCCACCATCCCTTTCAAAGAAACAATACAGAGTACACTTGGCGGCGGCGGCGGCGGCTGCGGCAGCTGCGGCGGGGGCACCGGCTGCGGCGGCTGCGGCGGTGGCGGCGGCGGGGGCAGCGGCGGCGGCGGCGGGGGCGGTGGCGGCGGCGGCGGCGGCGGTGGCGGCGGGCGGCGGCGGCAGCGGTGGCGGCAGGCGGCGGCAGCGGCTGCGGCGGCGGCGGCGGCGGCGGCGGGCAGCGGCGGCGGCGGCGGCGGAGGCGGCGGCGGCGGCGGATTGGCCCCCACTAGCTGCCCATCCAAAGACGACTGCTGAATATGCTCAGGCTCGGGCAAGTCTCGGGTGCTACGTATGTGTGTTGGGAGGGCGGGTGGGAGTGAGCGAGACGGCTTGCGGGCGGGAAGGGGGTCTTGATCCCTTCTGAGAGGCAGGGGGGCATCCAAAGACGACTGCTGCATATGCTGCGGCTCGGGCCAGGCTCGGTTGCTACGTATGTGTTGGGAGGGCGGGTGGGAGGGAGCGCGATAGCTTGCGGGCGGGGAGGGAAACTCTTGATCACTGTTCCGTATTGATAAACACCCCTTCCCCCAGGCGACTGGGGGCCAACCAGGGTCCATGATGACACCCCCCCACCATTCCTTGTAAATTATCCCGGCAAAGCAACCTAACAGCGATGTGTAGAAGCATATCTGAAAGCATTCCCCTTAAGATTCAGATGAAAATCCAGTTGTAGAATTCTGCTGTTCTCGCAGTCGTAGTCGCATTCGCGATGACAGTCGCAGCGGCAACGGCAGTCGCAGTCACAGCCTCAGCCTCAGCCTGCCTCAGCCTCAGCCTCAGCCTGCCTCAGCCTCAGCCTGCCTCAGCCTCAGCCTCAGCCTGCTTCAGCCTCAGCCTCAGTCTGCCTTCAGCCTCGGCCTCAGCCTCAGCCTGCCTCAGCCTCAGCCTGCATCAGCCTCAGCCTCAGCCTCAGCCTGCCTCAGCATCAGCCTGCCTCAGCCTCAGCCTCAGCCTGCCTCTGCCTCAGCCTCAGCCTCAGCCTGCTTCAGCCTCAGCCTCAGTCTGCCTTCAGCCTCAGCCTGCCTCAGCCTCAGCCTGCATCAGCCT